TGCCCGCGCCCCTGCTGCACCCCCGGTTGTTACGCCACTGCTATGTTTATAAATGAGTACTTGACAACAGAATATCAAAATAAAAAAAAAACAACTGAAATAACAAATAATGTCCAAGGTAAAGGGTTTATTCTAAATACCTGTTGATGCATTATCATGGGCAAATGAGGATTCATCCCTTGTTCCCCTTTGCCCTATCCCCTTACCTGTCCTTCCTCCTCGTCAATTTCCGTGTCTACTTTCTACTCTTTCCTTTCCTGTTCTCTTTTTCTCATGCTACCAAGCCCATATCTCCGAGCATTGTTTATATGCTCCTAGATGGCTCCCCACCTGAAATAAGCAAAGCCCTACACACCAGCCCACTGAAAGTGCAAGAAATCAACTTACATTGCATAGTAGAAGCGAAGACAGTGGTGTTAGCTATCCAGTTTGCTGGTTAAAATGACCTAACAGTAGCCTGCAAATTCTATTAAAAAGCATCCATACGGAAATCCTGATTTTCTTTTTCAGTATGTTTGGCACCATGCCTCCATGTATACAGGATTTTTAAGCAAATCATTTTTTGTGAATTTGTTGCAAATATTCTCACCTTCCTGTTGTAGACTGACCATGATAAGCCATGCATTGCAATTAAAATCAGCACTGCAAGCTCCTTGAGTTGGTAATTAGGCTGCCCATCTAGTAAACCTGATAGGCAGACCAAATGGCCAACTTAAAGTGAACCTTTACCCCCTTTAAGTAAAATCACATCATTATGAAGCTCTGCATGCTGATATAAAATCATATTACATTCATTAGTTAAACAAACATATTTTTATTTTACTTACAATTCCTTTTTTTCTACTTTCTGGTCCTCTTTAGCACAAATTATGTAATTGTGTCCAAGTGATACATCCTGGGAAGGTTACATCAGCAGAGCATTGCTGGGAAATCCCATCTGTAATCTCTTGAGAGATGATGTGCAATGGTTACATGTCCTAGTCAGAGTTCCAGGAAGTAAAGGGAGATGGATTAATCTGTCCTAAGTAAAAATGACCACCATGAGAAGAATAGGGAGGAAAAGAAAAATAAGGTCTGGAAAGGATACAAGGCCTGCAATTCTCTATAAGTGTGTGTTTGTAGATTGCCATTATTGAACATTTCTAAAGGTGTTTTTGTTGTTATTTTGAAGGTATGGGTAAAGTTCCTCTTCAAGGAAAGAATGTGACACTGTCAGCCTGGGTGATAGTGCCACTCCTACTTATTTTAGAATACTGTAGACAGTAAGACATGGTACCAAACATACTAATAAAATAGATATTGAGCTTACACACACTTTCACCCCCTACCACCGCCATCAATTCTACATGTGAATAGGCCTGGTCCTCTGGCTCACCTTGGTCCTCCTGAGCCCAGGACAACTGTGGGGAAGCATTTCAGGATGACAGAGGGTTTGAGGTGATTGAGAACTTCTGTGTGCAACTTCCTCCTCCTGAATGTGACTAACTACCGCTAGCTTGAGGCAGGTATGTTTATTCTGCATGAAATTAGCATAGGTTTAGGGACTGCTTTCCACATACTGTATATGGCAAATTCCAGACTACCGAAAGATCAACCAAAAGATCATAGACCATATGATAAGTGGCGTCGTTCATATGTACTTTCTTACTGTTTTTGGTGGGATTTATGACATTTCTGTGACATCAGAGAGAGTGTTCTGCACTAGGTGTTTACCACTGTATATATATTTGCCTATCACCTGTTTTTTTGTGTCATTGTGTCACTTTCAGGAAGGGACCCTGCGTGGCCCCGAAACGTTGGCATTATGACCTATGTGATGTATTCACAATAAACAAGTATATGTTTCCATCCTAAATGACTGTGTGCTGGTGACTTACAGTATCTTCTTTTATCCTAGGATGGTGCGATGCGATGCTGATGTGACGTTAGAAAGAAAATGCATTTTCATGTAATCCTACTAGGGATGCACCGATACCATTTTTACAGACCGAGTAGTGCGTGTATTTTTCCTCAAGTATTTGCCGATACCAATTATCCATACTTTTTTTTTTTAGTGTCATGTGACAGTTTTTCTAAAACAATACAGACTAATGATTTCAGGACAGTGGTGAAGTGCCAGAACCCGGTGACAGCTGCAAACGCTGCAATCTTGGTAGTTCTGCCACTGACTCCAAGCTGTAGAGGGACTACAAATCTCAGCAATATATTATACAACAATGCAGAATACCACCAGCTATAGAGGACTACAAATCCCAGCAATACATTATACAGCAATGCAGAGTAATTCCATCAGTTATAGAGGACTACAAATCCCAGCAATACATTATACAGCAATGCTGAATGGCAACCGGCTATAAAGGACTACAAATCCCAGCAATGCATTATACATCAATGCAGAATAATATGAAGCTACATACTCTGTGCTGCTCCGGGGTGCCAGCCTGATGTCTCCAGCGGAGGATCCCAGCTGGCTGTGTGGGGTTTGGGGAGGCTGTGCAGGGTTCATGGTGGGCTATGCAGGGTCTGTGCAGGTTCTATGGTGGGCTGTGCGTACTCTCAGGTGGGCTATGCAGGGTCCATGGTGGGCTGTACTGACTCTCAGTTGGCTGTGCAGGTTCTTTGGTGGGCTGTGTGGACTCTCAGGCGGGCTGTGCAGGTTCTATGGTGGACTGTGCAGACTCTTAGGTGGGCTGTGCAGGTTTTATGGTGGGCTGTGCAGACTCTCAGGTTGCTGTGCAGGGGTCTATGGTGGGCTGTGCACACTCTCAGGTGGCTCTGCCGGGTCTATAGTGGACTGTGCAAGGTTAATGGTGGGCTGTGCGGCTCAATGCTCTGTGTGGTTAATGGTGGGCTGTGCGGCCTCTATACTGGGCTGTGCAGGCTGTATGCTGCGCTGTGCGGCTCTATGCTAGGCCGCAAAATGATACCACATTGGTGTGACTTTTATGTAAGGTAGTGGAGTGGTAGAGCTAAGACACATTTATTTCCCTTTTGATGCTACACGGGGAAAATGTTTTGCATAACTTGTTAGCATAAGATTAAAGCAGAACTCCGGGTAAACGTTTTAACACTTGCAGTGGAGTCATCTGGGATGGAATCATTTGATACATTTTTAGCATATACAGGTGAAACTCGAATAATTAGAATATCGTGCAAAGTTCATTTATTTCACTAATGCAACTTATGCGGTGAAACTAATATATGAGATAGACTCATTACATGCAATGTAAGATAGTTCAAGCCGTGATTTGTCATAATTGTGATGATTATGGCTTACAGCTCATGAAAACCCCAAGAACCCCAAATCCACAACCTCAAAAAAGTAGATTATTACATGCAATCAATAAAACAAGGATTGTATATAGAACAATATCGGACCTCTGAAAAGTACAAGCATACATATGTACTCAGTACTTGGTTTGGGCCCCTTTTGCAGCAATGACTGCAATTACTTTTGCACGATATTCTAATTATTCGAGTTTCACCTGTATACTGTACATATAGATCTGTAAATATTGTATTTTTTCTATTTCACTTTTTTCTTCACGAAGAGGGTGTCTTTAACCGGTCATTGGAGACCCCCTAGGCAGCAGCAGCAGCAGAACATTTCTAATAGTGTTCTATTAATGACTGCAATCAGCCAGCAATAGATGACTTTAGGAGTGACCTGTTGCTGCAATGGAGGAATGCGCACAGTTGTAACAGCCTTTGTTCTAGGAAGAAGTGCTGTGATGTCACTTGTGGCATCACTACACTTCCAATTTAAACATAACACAGAAGTGTTGTGTTTACATTTGCTTCTCACATAAAGCGATCTGTAGAATGATCTGAAGCCTGGGAGCTGATTGTTTCAGCTCCTGGACTTACCACTGGATCCTGTTTGCCGTTGGGGCCCCCAGGAGCCACTGAGACCGGATGCTGTTTTAAAGCAGCGCTGGAGCTCAAGTGGTTCATTTAAAATTATTTTTAGATATGCTATGTGAAGGGGAACACATAAGAAGCTTCTAGTGGGAGGTTTATCAAATGTGACTGCAAAAGTGGAAATCCACTCATAAGTTCTGAAGAAAGTTTCTGTCCTTAGAACCTTCTAAGCAGCTCCAGGCTGTAGCTGAGCAGGCTCTGGAGGCAGCTCCATCAGGAGAATAGCCCTCTGTGTGGAGAGACGGCCAGGAATTCTCTACTAGCCGGTGACGTCCGAGAGCCCGCACACACACAGAGCCCACTGCAGGGAATCCTGGTGACGTCCCAGTGACGTCAGGCGGTCACATGTCTTGCTGCAGTTGCCTCCCTCCTCCGGCCTCCGGAGCATCAGTGCGGTCCAAGATGGCGGCAGAGGTCGACCGGACTCGTGATAGCCGGCACTGAGTGAGGGGCGAGAGGTCGGGCGTGTTGTCACACTCCGAGGGCGGCGGGACGAGGACAGAGCCGGGCGCCTAGGCGCCACACCGGCCGGGCAGAGGGAGAGAGGCCGGGGTGCCCTTGAGGAAAACGGAGGAGAGAAAGAGACGAGGACAAGGAGCAGAGGAGGAAGAGGTGGTCGTCTGGGGCCATGTTCTCGGTACTATCCTACGGCAGGTTGGTGGCCAGAGCGGTGCTCGGAGGACTGTCACAGACCGACTCCCGGGACTACAGCCTGGTGACCGCCAGCTGCGGCTTCGGAAAGGATGCCAGGAAGGGGATCCTCAAGAAGGGCATGTGCTACGGGGACGACGCCTGCTTCATCGCCCGCCACCGGACGGCGGATGTCCTAGGTGAGTGCATGGCACCTTCTGCTAAAGGGGGGACTACAAGTGCCAGCAGTCAGAGTATGGCATGAGTTGTCCTAGAGTTGTGCAGCCAGTGCTGGCCTGTCACGTGACCTTCCCATTGTAGTGTCCCCCCCCCCCTGCCATTGACAGTAGTGTACATGACATCTCTGTCCCTCCCTCACTCCTGACCTTTTATGAAGAGCATTCCCTGAATCACTGCAACACTCACATTTGCATGTCCTTCTATTATTCCCCTTCATAGCTCAGTGATGTGCTGCCCATTAATGTTCAAAAACAGCCAAGAGCTTCTATGGGGCGTCATTTGTGTGCTTTGGCCCCCATAGACTTCAATGAGACATCTGAAAAGGTGTGGAATGTGATTTGTACACCATTCTGCCCCTAACACTTGTCTCTGATTCCTAGTAATTAGAACACAGAATTCTCAAGCCTGAAAGCACTCCATATAGCGTTCCTCGCCCAAATTGCAATGATGGGGCTTGCTGTGATAATCACGGATGGCACCGTGCACATCAACAGTAGAAAGCAGGAATCACCAGCACTCAATGAATAATATTCAACGTCCATTTATTCGGACATGTCGTCACAAATGAAAAACCAACGTTTTGGGGCCACACAGGGTCCCTTCATCAGGGTGATAATGTGTCAAGGACCGACTGGTGATTCCTGCTTTCTACTGTTTATTCTTCACAGGTCATTTCTCCTACATGTGGAATCTCCTAAACGCAGGAGACCAGTGTGGATGTAGTCTATGGCCCTAGTTGCACTTATGTTTGAGGTTAGATTGCGGGTTCCGGCTGCAGGATTCACAGGTGTGTAACTAGCTGCGGCCGGGAAGCCTGTACAAAGCAATGGCCGGCTGACCGTGGTGACATTCACCGAATACCTGCAGCTAGGGCCATATGCTCTGGATATTCTGTGTCCAGGGCCAGTCTTCTGTCTCTAACCACTGGATGTGTGGATAGCAGCAATTGTGTGAAATCACACTCCAAACCCAAATCCCACTTGAAATATTTCGGTGGGTGCAGAAAAGGCCTGCAGATGGTGCCGCAAGGAAGAATGTATAAGAGAATGAGCCACCAGTACACCAGTGGTCCATGTTAACCTGTCTTTATTGGACTGCAGATGAACATGGTATTGCATATAAACGCATTTATATGTGATACCATGTTGTTCTGCAGTCCAATAAAGAGGGGATGATAACATGGACCTCTTGTGTGCTGGTCTCTTTTATATATTGATCTTTGTGGCACAGATGGTGCAGGCCTCTTCTGCACCCACCAAGATAATTCAAGTGGGATTAGGGTTTGGAGTGTGGATAGCAGCAGACAACTGTGGTTCCTGTCAGCCTGTCTTTGCTTTGTACCGGCTGAGTGGCCACAGCTGCCTGAAACTCCCTGTGATTCCTGCCACAAGAATCTACAGCCAGGCATGAAAAGTGACTTCTTCTGTTCCTAATGGTCCCTGTGTGTGTTGTAAAGTAGCCACCCCTCCGAGTTCACTCCTGTGATGGACTACAATCTCACGTTTAGTTTAATAATTTGTATTGAGATTGTAGTCCATCACAGGATCAAGCTTGGAGCGGTGGCTACTTTACAACACACACACGGACCATGGGGAACAAAAGTAGTCACCCTCCAGAAGGAAGGACGCTATCGGCATGAATTCAGAGATGGTTTTTTTAGTATAATGGTAGTAGCTTGGCCCCCTGGTAGTATGCATATGTCATACCTGAGCAGGGATCCTGTAAAGCACTGCAGTAGCTGGAGATAGCTACTACAGTGCCGGTGTTCTGTCGAAAACTCGAGCTCTCCAACAACCTGACTTCCGGTTTATTTAGAAGAGGTTTGAACGAGAAGGCTCTACTGCACGTGGGCCACCCGCGGCATTTCCCTATACACATACTACACAGCAATAAAGTATTAAAATGAACTAGGGTCACACTAATCCAGCACGTTATTCATCTGAGTTGACCCACTCAATATGGCCGCCGATTTGACTCCCTTCTCGGCCAAACCTCTTACTTACCGGAAGTCAGGTCGTTGGAGATCTCGACGAGTTGGAACTTTCCATAGATCACTGGCTGTGATCTTCCGAGTCCTGGTATTGTGCTGTGCTGAACGACTTCCCTCTGCTCTGAAAACACAGGGGTTTACTCTCTTGACACAAGGACCATTTAGAGAATGCCTAGTTCTTTTATCCTCTGCTCGGAGCAGGAGTGGTGACCATTGTCGACAAAAGAGAAAGTAAGAAAAAAGAGAATGAAGAAATGCAAAATTTCAGAGTTGTCACCAGAACAAGAGGAAGAGGGGAATCTTCTATTGGCGACACCTGTTCCGGGCTTCAGCTTATTAAGTGATGCATTTGCCTCACTTTGGGATATTCCCTCTAACTTCCTGTTGTGTGTTTTGGACAGGCAGTGAGATTGCCAATGGCACACACAGCAAAAAGTAACCAGGCAGTGGCTTTAACCCTTTCCTACTCTATCCAAAACTGTTGAGTGTGTGGAACTGTATCCACTCACACCAAGGAAGCCCCATCCAGTGCCAGCGGGGCAAATTTACTTTGGTTGGATGTTGATTTAGACGTTTCTCCCACATGAGTCACCTTGGGGTCGTTTTATTCAGCAGTAAAATCTGGATGCAGAGCACTTCTCTGCCTTGGCCTGGTGACTTTGAAAGACAGTTTGACCTTAGAGGCCACAAGGACAGAGCTTGCACTGGGTGTCCTACCTCTTTTGGCAGGAAACCCTACCCCAGCCTTGTTTTTGTAGGATTTATTTATCTGGCAGTGTATATAAAATAAACAAATCTGTGTGCTGAACATGCGCCTTGTGTATTTCCATTATCTTATTAGAAGGGAAATGTTTAAATACATGTCTTTACCTCTCTGATAACATGTAACACGGATATGGCAGACCTCAAAGGGTTAGCAGCGTTTGTTTTTGCATGTATTTATTATTTAGATATATATGTTCATAAGGAATCTCTTCCCTGCAAGGTCAGATATATAGACTGTAGGAATCGACTTGTCACATACCAGCTGTATCCCAGTGATAAGTAAAGCTGCAGGCAGAATTTTGGCTTGCTTTATTTACTTTTTTTGTTTTTGTTTTACATGGTTATTTTGGCATCCAGACACCTGAAGCATTAGAAAAAATGTGTAGTGTAGCAATTGCTGTCTGTAGCCATGTTAAACACAGGTTACTGAGGCATGGACATTTTTATTATATTTTAGATGCATGACACTTTTTCTGAATGGTGTTACTGAGGTCCAACTCTTATCTATAAGTGTATGTCATGACAAAGCTTTTTTTGTTTTGTTGTTTTGTTTGGATAGAGTAAGGAAGGGTTAACCCCTGTCAGGTTTATACTGATATCCTGAGGCCTGTTAGAGAGACTTTCCCTCATTTCTTGTCCTGGTGACATTTTACCAGACAGGAAATGAGGGGAGCAAGAACCCCTGTCAGGTTTTTACTGATATCCTGAGGCCTGTTAGAGAGACTTTCCCTCATTTCTTGTCCTGGTGACATTTTACCAGACAGGAAGTGAGGGGAGCTAGAACCCCAGTCAGGTTTTTTTATTTTTGTGTGTGTGTTCAGACTGATGCAGTCCTTGAAAGCTTTAATAAATCCGATCCATATGAAGTTTTATGGCCAAGGATGGTGTGTGCTCTCGACCGGACCCTGATCTTCTTTCTTTAACTAGCATCAATAATTTATGATTCCTGGGGAAGTGGAATTTCAACATTGTTTAACTTGCCCACTAGTGTATGTATGTGTATGTGTATATGTGTATATATATATATATATATATATATATACATATACATATACATACACGTGTGTGTATATATCTATCTATCTAGATAGATATAGATCTATGGGCATTGCAGTGGGGCTACCCATGCACTGCAAGGGTTAATTGCTCAATTTTTGTCCAAGGAGGTAATATAACACCTCTACTTACCGTGAGTCATCACCTTCTATACAGTGATTGGATTCAAGGATGCTGAGGGGGAGGCAGGCTTGAGGGAGTGGGAGTGATTTCCACTCACCCTCATAGTTAGAGCCGACGTGTGACATTGCAACTGTCACATGTCGATTCTATTGATCGGGAAGTGAGGAACACATACCGTCGCTCGCTCACTTCCCGATCATCTCCCTGCAGAGAGCCGTGACTGTCAGTCACTGTTCCCTGCAGGGATTCCCCCTCTCCGATCCTCCAGCGCTGAGTGGGGGAGGGGGCGGGTACAGCTGGCTCTGCCTCTAGATAGGCAGAGCCCGATGTCACTTACGCAGCTAGGTGGATCTCGACAGTAATGTCGGGATCCGTCCCTGCTGCGACACTCTCAGTATATCGCAAGCTGTAGCTCGCTATATACTGAGCTTTGGGTCACGGGAGGATGCTAGTATATGTCCTCCCGTGACCCTAAAGAGAACTATGGGGAAAAACACTTACCCCATAGTTCTCTTTAAAGACTTGATTTGCCCGGCGTTCTTCCTAAGCAAGTAGTGAAGCAAACCCGCGTACAACCGCCTACACCCATTTACCACTATGGGTTGCTGTATGTGACAACTGTGTATCATTGGCAGGAAAATACAGCCACAGTTTACGTTATACGGTTTTATTAGACCCAAGACTTCTAAAGAATACTGTGAGGTTTTAAGCTCGCCATACGCATTACAATCTGACTGCGAAATCAATTTTGGATTACAAAAAACCCCAAACCTATGTTATGAGGACCAGCCTAAACTATTCCATTTTTACCCAGCTAGGTCTTTGTATTAGAAAGTTGGTGGCAGATTTGAAGGAGATCGTACAGCCAGATTGTAACATGTGGTGATCATGTTCGGGGAGAAGCACAGCAGCTACTGTTACCAACCTCTCCTTCTGAAAATGCTAGTTGACTGGCTGTCATACTTTTTTGCTTCAAATGATTTAGTCACTAACAAGTATGTTGGTAAGCCAGGGCTGGACAAATCC